CAATCAAAAGTTTTGTTCCATTAGCAGGTTTTAACTAGCTTTTTTTAGTGATTCCTTTAATCTGTCAATAGGATAATCTTTAAGGAAAAAATATTCATTAGCAGCTTAAAATTTTTTTATTGCATTCTTATTTTTTGTGTGGGGGGTGGGGGTGTGGTAGGCGTATGTCACAATGTATTTGTAGAAGTTAGAGGATAGCTTGTAGGAGTCAGTTCTCTTTTTCTACCATGTGGGTTCCAGAGATAATTTAAGGTCACTATTTGAGGCTTGCCTGGGCAATGTGAAATGTTGTCTTTTTGTTTGTTTGTTTTGTTTTATTTATTTTTATTTTATATGTATGAGTGTTATATGTATGTAAGTGCACCAGTGTCATGTAGTGCCTGTGGAGGACAGAAGAAGGTATCGGATCCTCTGGAACTGGAGTTCCAGATGGTTGTCAGCCACCATGTGGGTGCTGGGATTCAAACTCGGGTCTTCTGCAAGAACAGCCAGTGCTTTTAACTGCTGAACCATCTCTCCAGCTCCAAAACCCTGTCTTGAGAAAACAAAAACAAACCAAAAAGTTATTCCACTTGAGTTAAAAAGCAGTGATATATGAAGTGTAGGGCCTGGTAAGATAGTTACTTGACTAATTAAATTCTCATAGAAATTCACATGATAAATTAGCTTAAAGGGCTGGGCATGTAGTTCAGTTGTAGAGCACTTTGTGTGGCATGCCTAAGGCCCTGCACCATCAGAAAAGAGGAAAGGAAGGAAAGACCATAGATAAAGTAGTCAGTGAAAAGTCCAGTGGAGAGTAAGTAGGCTGTGACATGAGCTTGGAGCCTCTTGGGGAGGTTTAGGATATTGTATTAACTTAATACACCACATTCTAGATGTTCGATAATGTGATGAGAAGACTTGGTTTCAGGAACTGGAGTACTGGTGTTTTGCTGTATCTTGCTTATGTATATCATCTGCTGCCCTAGATTTTTAGAGCCCATTATAGGTCCAGTTGTCACTAGCATTTCAGAACTTGTTTATGATACTCAAAGATTCTGATGTTCTCCAATTAAACTCACATTTATTAGGGAGAATATTAGGTGTTTGATGAACGCACCTACATTGATTAGAACCTATTTGAAGTATAGATGCACAGTGATCTCTGAGTAGTGTAGAATCTCTCTCTACCTGCTCTGTGGAGCCTGTTAGTCATCTCAGAGAGGAAAATAGTGTTGGCAAGGCTGGGTGCTGGCTGCTTACCTGATTCTTCAGCCTCTCTCTTTACACATAGACCAGATTGATTCTATATAAGATTTCAAATGGCAAAAAGATTTCATTGTTTAAAAAGTCTGCAAATGACTGCTTTAGAATTAAAACAAATCTGGCTATCTAGGGGCATGTGTGGAAATTGATTCTTTCAAATACTGTATTTTTTTGTGACAGTTCTTATGCTAGCTTTAGACCTTTTATAATTGCTTATAACTGAAATAATTCCATTATTTTTTTGTGGACAGATTTGTAAGAAAATCTGGGTGCTAGTGTTATCCTGGCATTTGTTTTCTTCTTGCTGTATAAATAATTTAACAGTATTGAAACCTTTTATCATCAAATAGGGATAGTTAAATCACTTTGTTTTTTAACGTATATGAGATTAATTGGCTTCCAGTTAGAATCTCATGATTTTGAATTTTGAATGTATTCTCATTTTGTTTTCTGTGCAGTTGAGAAAGATTGGGGGTGGGGGCTTTGGAGAAATTTACGATGCCTTGGACATGCTCACCAGGGAGAATGTTGCACTGAAAGTGGAGTCAGCTCAACAACCCAAACAAGTTCTGAAAATGGAAGTTGCTGTTTTGAAGAAACTACAAGGTAAGCTGCTTTGAATGACAAACAATTTAAAATTTGTTTTTAATCCTCCTATACTCTGATTAAATTCTCTATATTAATTGACTATTCTGGTCTCAGCTAGGTATAAACACACTGAGCATTTTTGTCGTAAAAATTTTATTATTTAGTAAAATGTGTGTTTGCTTAGAATATTGGACTTTCAAAATTCCTATTCGGGGGGAGGGGGGAGGGAGGGAGAGAGAGAGAGAAAGAGAGAACGAGAGAGAGAAATTAAGAGAATTATTCTACTACTTTAGAAAGTGTCCTAAATCTGCTATAATAAAATTTGCCTGTTAAAAAAAAATTTTTTTAAATTTTTTATTAAAAGAAGTCTCTTAAAATATCTGTGCTTGGCTTTGCATATTAAATATTCTTGGGTCACATTTTGGAAGCTGCCTTCAAATCATACTGCAGGAAGGGTTAAAATGGTAGATGAGTCTATTTGATGTGTGTCCATATTAGCTTTAGTTTAAGAGAATAGCTCATCATTTTTTAGGTCCTTCATTTTATTGCTCAGGTACTTTTACTATGAGGGTGAATAATTTTTTAAAATATTTTATTTATTACTTTTATTTTATGTGTATGAGTGTATGTTAGTGCACCCATGTTGTGCAATGCCATGGAGGTCAGAAGAGGGCTTCAGAATCCCCTGGAACTGGAGTTAAGGATGGTTTGTAGCTGCCATGTGGGTGCTGGGAATCGAACCCGGGTCCTCTGCAAGAGCAGTCTGTGCTCTTAACCACTGAGCCATCTCCAGCCCAAGGTGAATAATTTTTTTTTATGTCAATCAGGTAATGAAAACTCTCAATGCATGCATTGCTAGTTTCTTTATAATCTGTGTTTAATGGCACACTGTGATATTACTAATATCAAAGTATTTGTAATCAGAATTACATAAGGTTGATCATTGTTCTTTTTCCTAAAATTTCCAGTTGTCCAAATTTCTCTACCAATTGTTTCATTTGATTAGAACATAATGCTAATACAATCTGTTTCATAGTCAGTTTTAGCTCAAACTTAGGATTCCCATAGCATAATAAATCAGGAAAGTAGTAGATAGCTTGACACCCATTGTCACTACTTAATAAAAAAAATCAGCAAAGGAAAAATGGAGAAAGGATACCTCTTTCTTTTTCTCAACTTTCCTTACTTTTTTCTTTAGTTCTCACTCATGAATGTAGAGGCCACATATAAGGGCCATTAGAACCCCTGCTCCAGAGTTGCACAGAGCCTAAAGATAGATCTCATTTAAGGCTGGCCTCAGAAAGGGCATGGATGATCAGCAGCAGCTTGGCCTGGTTAGTGCCACTTCAGTCTTTCTGCTTAGCCCTGAGGAGATGCTTCTGTGAGACAAAAGACAGTTCTGCAGCCTTCAAGAGGCTCTCTTGGGGGATGGAGAGATGGCTCAGTGGTTAAGAGCACTTTTTTTAAAGCACTTTTTTAAAAAAAGTACTAAATTGATCTTAAGGCTTTATCACATAGAATCAGAATCCTAAGCAAACCATAACCAAAATGGAAAGAGACCCTCTTTTTTTATTACTAATTTTATTTTTGTGTGTATGAGTGTATTGCCTGCATGTTTGTAAGTGCACCCATGTTGTGAAATGCCCTCAGAGGTTGGAAGAGGGTGTTGGACGGTTGTTAGCTGCCATGTGGATGCTGGGAATTGAACCCAGGTCTGGAGAGTGAGTTAGAAACTGTTGGATGTTTGTGCTCTTTCCATTTAATTAATTTATTATTATTTTTTTTGGTCTTTTTGAGACAGAGTCTCCCTGTAGCCCCAGCTGTCCTGGAACTCACTCTGTAGACCAGGCTGGCCTTGAACTCACAGAGATCCGCCTGCCTCTGCCTCCCAAGTGCTGGGATTAAAGGCATGCGCCACCATGCCTGGTGTCATTTTTTAAATATATACATGTTTTTATTTATTTTCTCTTTTTAGAGAACAGTGGCCATTCATACTTTCTGGTGAAATTAAACATTAATACCAACTTTCTTGAGAACAATTTAGAAACATCAAAGATCTTTATAAAGTTCTAGAAATAGGGGCTAGAGAGATGACTCAGCAGTTAAGAGCAGTGGGTGTTCTTGCGAAGGACCCAGGTTCGATTCCCAGCACCCACATGGTGGCTAACAACTGTCTGTAACTCCAGTTCCAGGGGATTCGACACCCTCTTTTGACCTACACAGGCATTGCATGACACAAGTGCCTAACATATGTGCAGGCAGTATACTCATACATGTAAGATAAAAATAATAAAATATTTTTTAAAATAGAAATAGGGGGCTAAGGGGCTGGATAGATGGCTCAGCATATGAACTCTGGTTGTTCTTGCAGAAAACCTAGGTTTGAATCCCAGCGCCCATATGGCAGCTAACAACTGTCTTAGCTCCAGTTCCAGGGGATCCGATGCCCTCTTCTGACCTTAGTGGACATTGCACAACATGGGTATACTTACATACATACACTCGTACACATAAAATAAAAATAATAAATAAAATATTTTTTAAAATTAGAAGCCAGGTGTGGTGGCCCATGCCTTTAATCGCAGCACTCAGGAGGCAGAGGCAGGCGGATCTCTGTGAATTCAAGGCCAGCCTGGTCTACATAAGTTCCAGGACAGCTGGGGCTACAGGGAGACCCTGTCTCAAAAAGACCCAAAAAAAGAAGAAATAGTGTTTTACATAAACAGTGTTCTTGCAGCATTAATTGTAATGCAAAAAAACTTTCTAAAATGTTTTTCCTATCTGCTTATACCCATATGAACCCTATTCCTCGGAATCTTATTTTCCACAAATGAATAGGTTTTTAATCTTCTAGTCTGTATTTTAATTAGGTAGTCCTTGACACTCTTCTCTTGGCTTTTTTAAAAAAATATTTTATATTTTATGTGTTATGTGTTATGCCTGCATGTAAGTGAGTACACCCTTGTCGTGCAATGCCTGTGCAGGGCAGAAGAAATAGTAAGCCTTCTGTATACTTAGGCTTACAACTTCTTTCTGTTGACGATGGTTGGACCCTTTTAACATGTCTGTGGTACTGAGCTGCTCTTGCTTTTCTGGTGGCAGGATGGCTTAATGCTGAGTGACTTCAGTGAATAGGCTAATGTGTAAGGAAAGGTGTATGACTAGTTTTGTATGGGGTTAGTTGGTTTTAAATTGGTGCTTTTGTTTTGTTTTCTGTTTTTGTTTGTTTTTTAAGTAGGGTCTCATGAATCCCAGGCAGACCTTGAACTGGCTATGTAGCTGAGGATGGCTTTGAACTTCTGATCTTCCTTCCTCCACCTCCTGAGTGCTGGGATTACAACATCTGGCTGAAGCTGACAGCAGCACTAATCTGTGGGTATAAACATAGTTGTTTAGAAGACAATATAACTGGCACATCTTGTCCATTTAGCAAAATAATCAGAGTAGCTTCCCCACTAAGGCTATGCCCTCCCTAGCTACAGGTTTTCAACTTGGTTTACAGTACCAGGTGTGAACTCTCCTGTGGAGGAGACATCAAATCCAATTCAAAGTTACCCCGGCAACACAGTCCTGTCAAAAAGAGGGAAACCCCATAACAAACTTGTAACTATTGTGCCAGTGGGCTCATCTTGCCTGGCCAAATAGATATTGTTGCACACAGGGTTCACATCTGAGCAAGACTGTTGATGACAATTCTTCCCCAGCAACCTGCGTGGCACTATGAGGGATAGCCAGCAGTGAGAAAATTCCCACTCAGTTCCAGCTTGATTTCTCTGTCTTGTGCCAGAGGCATATGTTGTGTCCTTAGCAATAGAGTATTACCATCTTGTTTGGGTGGGCGCCCAGCAGTAGTGACAGTAGCCTGTATGGTTTGGGGGATCTTGCAGGCCTCGGGGACCTCTCTGACCAACAATTTAAAGATTTCATTTGTGTGTGTGTGTGTGTGTGTGTGTGTGTGTGTATCTCCACACTTTCATGCAGGTTCCCAGAGGTGCCTGCAGAGACCAAATCCTGTGGGAATGACTTTTTTTTTTTTTTTTTTTGGTCTTTATGAGACAGGGTCTCCCTGTAGCCCCACGCCAGGCATTGACTAATGGCTTTTAATTTACCCCAGCAAAGCCACATACTCTTGTATTTTGTTACCTGGGCACTGATCTTGTTTCTGGGAACCTCAATTTGCTACTGTACCCAAAAAGATAATGAATGAATGTGGATATGCTTGAGAATTAATGTATCAAAGTGTTGAAAGCAGGCATACCCATCTCCATTGCACACAGTGGAGACTGGGAAGGACATGTGACTTTGGGTGAATGAGATGTTGTAGACCTAGGGATGAAAAGACTGGATGATCTGTTAAGATTTAGGGTGGAGCTGAATTTATACTTCCCCAATTGAAGCTGAAGACATTTTGAATAAAATCATGGGTGGGGCCCTGCTGAAGGACACATTTTGCAGGGTGGAGTTCCAAAAAGACAGTTCCATCAACACAGTTCAGGAGACAGATGGTTCCAGGAGAGATATAGGGGATGACTGTCCTCCAATTGGGGCCTACTCTTTTTTTTTTTGGTCTTTTTGAGACAGGGTCTCCCTGTAGCCCCAGCTGGCCTGGAGCTCGCTATGTAGACCAGACTGGCCTTGAATTCAGATCTGCCTGCCTGCACCTCCCAAGTGCTGGGATCAAAGGCGCATGGGCCACCAACTGGGGCTGACTGTTAAAAACTAAAGTTAAGAGTTAAGCTTTTTGTTCAGGTAATTGTAATGTCATCGCCAGGAACTAGAGTTACAAGTGGTTGTGAGACACTTGACTTGGGTGCTGGGGATTGAACTTGGGTCCTCTGCAAGATCTGCAAGTGCTCCTAACTGCTGAGTCATCTCTCTAGCCCCGTTAAATTTTATTTTTTTGATTAGCTTTTGTGTCACATTTCCTTATATTTTTTCATAGTTTTGCTTGACCCCCACCCCCATCCTGTCTTCCACATCCCCTGCACCCTCTCACCACGTAAGCCTTTGCACCCCTA